GCTTCCTTATCCTTCGTTTTTTGACACGGTAAAATATGACAAAAAATAGGACCAAGAGAAGGAAAATTGGAGCAAAGCATGCTCCTATTATGAGAACAGTGTCTTTCGGAGCTGGAATCGATTCATTCGTAGGTAAGAGCATCGTAGAGGGTGAAGTACTATTTGAGACATTCCATGCATTGTAATCAAGTCCCTCAACAGTGGACAGCGTTGTTGTTGGTGAAAGAGCGGTCTTTGAAGCGTTCTGTGCTCCAATATCAAGTCCCTCAACAGTAGACAGCGTTGTTGTTGGTGAAAGAGCGGCCTTTGAAGCGTTCTGTGCATCGTAATCAAGTCCTTCAAAGACTATAGCCCCATTACAGTGTGTCTCTTTTATATTAGAAAAGTCTCTCTCGCATTCCAATCTAAACCAAGTTGGTTTTTTAATTCCGCTTTTTTTGGCACCTCTTCTCACAACACAATCACTCATTCCACTTGGTAAATTATTACGACAATTTACCTTATAACGAACCGCATCTTCATATCTTAACTCAGATAAAGGAGTTCCGCTGTCACATTTTATGCTGTTCAAGCCTTCCGTCCATTTGCAATTAATTTCAAGTGCAGGTTTTTGAGAAGCGTTCAACGTCTTACTCGATGGTTGTTCGGTAGCAAAGTGCCCCTTACATTTTTGGTGACTCCGTGACTTAAAATCACACTCCAATCCCAATCCGGTCACACCATCCAAACTGTTTTCTTCCACATATTGCTTTGCAGCACATCTTATTCCCTGATCAATATGCTTGCAATCCACATCGAAGTTGATCACTTTACTGGTATCATATTTTGTGTCAGCCTTCGATTCACATGTTAGCCTATTCTCCAAAATTTCACAGTTCATTCCAAACAAATTTCCAACACTGCCATCCATGGCTGCTTTATGAACACGCTGTCGATTAGCTCGTAGCAACTTTTTAGCACCAGGCTCTCCCCTGCTACCGCTTCCAATAACCATATCATTACCAAAAATATCATTTTGTGCCATTATAAATTATTGTAAAGATGCTTTCATAGCTTAAATACTTTTAATCACATGTTTAATTAACCAACATGATGTTATTGTACGTGTTCATCAAGAAAATTGGTGGATATTTTAGGTTAATATTTTTTATGGAGAAGAGCATTCATATAAATGCGTACTTCTCGTGTTTAGTGAGCTTGTTACAGTTTGTATTGATAAATAAACTAATTCTCGTTTCTTAATGTACACGTCCTGAGGCACAAACACAGGCAATAAGTCACTATTTCATCCTTTCGTACTATTCTGATGCGATTACTGATCCAATCATTAATTCTCTGCTACTATAAATCGTTATTACCATATAATTAGATTAATTACCGTTCGCTTCTTTGTGGCTTGAAGCGAAGTACACTGGCAAGAAGCTTTACGGCACCAACTTGGCACGCGAATGACACAAATCAGAACATCTATCAGCATAGGAAGAGAGCGGTTCTGCGGTCTTGTCCATACCACCGAATATATCAAGTACCGTTGAAATGTGCACAATCGGCAGGGAGCTGCTCTGTTTATCGCAGCAATGTACTAAAAAACTTGGCAAATCAGATTAAATTTATTGAGTGTGCTCTTAGAACACGTTAGTGCTGAGCGTATGCTTTTGACCTACTGCGGTGTTCTTACCTTCTATTCTGGATTCAAATACTTTTGGTGCAGTTATCCCATGTACAATCCACGTTTCTTACTTTGAAATCTTCTTTGATTACGAGGCCCGTTCGTAAAAACTTGTACAATTCTTTCGTAGGAACTGTTTAGGTTCGATCAGAGTTACTCATTTACCTGCAGGTAAGGCACCACCTACATTTGTTTACTTCCCTTATTCATTCTTTCAAATCGCCGTTCTACCTTGTTTCCGGTCACTTTCGTTCGTTCTGCTCTTCAAACCAAGATAGAAAATTGATTTTTAATCACAACCGTGTCTTTAACACATTCCATGATGGTGTTAAACCACCGCAAGCAGAGAGCCCGCGTATCGTACTATCACGCACATTTGTGCACCGTGGAACGGTAGCACTTAGGAGTGAGAAAATGCGGCATCAACATCTGCTAAAATTTCTGATGCTAACACTTCCTCACCCAAGACCGTTAAACTTGGTGTACTCCTACGCAAGAAAGTGTTTGCGAATCAGTGTTTTAGCACTGCTACTTCATGTTTAAGTGTGTGCATCCACGGTTATGGTGGGATAGTGCACTTTTTCTGGCACTCTTATCAAAGCATTTTGTTAAAATACCACACATACTGCGAAGATCGGCTTTAACAAAGTGTTGTACAGCACCATTTCAACTTTCCATGTTGCTTGTCGTTTACAAATTGATATTTCTGCGGATAATTCGCCTTTATTGTTGAAGTAATCTGTGCCTCATGTTTTTCATGAAAATCGTTTGATTGCCGCGTTGCAAATCTCTCAGAACACGTGCTGAACGATCCGCCCACATCATCACAAATTTGATGTGCCCTTTAATATGACGGAGGATGAGCTGTTTGTCTTGCTTGCATCGGTGAGTGCTGCTCCAACGCTTGAAAAGCTGCAGGACATCGAATTTATACTTCTGGATCAAAGCGATTTACGTCCATTTGTTCATAAATACGATGTTCACCTCATAAGCAACTTCCTGAAATGTCCCATTCTGTTTGACCTTGCATTGGAAATTCTCATTCTGTGCTTAGATGAGGATTGTGTGTCCCAGTACACGAACAAAAGGAAATTGTTCCTCTTGACCGACCAGCTGTACATGAACAGAAATGTTAGGATTATAGCAGCAGTTACACGAATACTGGTGTTGAGCAGCGAGTGCGTGCGTATGAATGTTGTTGGCACGCTTGAGAGTTTGGGTTTCTTTAGGATTATGGTCGCGCTAGCATGCAAGGAGGGCGCTCAGTTGATGGACTCATTGTTTGTGTGTGAAGGAACGATGAATTATACGGAGGATGAAGTGCGTAGGATTAGAATGCTGTTTAACAGCGATGCTGGAGGCGGTTCTTTACAAACATACGAAGAGAACGCATCATACGTATTGGACATTGGTGCGGCAGGCGGTAGTTGCACACACGGTAATAAAAATGGGTTGACATGTGAAACTGAGCCTGGAATATTACCTGGGCATTTTAACGGAGAGAAGATATCACAGGACGGTGCAACACGCGAACCAGAACTAAGAACGCTACCAGAGCGAAATAAGGAGAAAGGAGGTATCGCACACCTTGGAAAACATCCTTTTGATGTTAAAAGGAAGTACTTCGACACCAAAACATATTTCAAGGAGAAAGAGTATTTTAAAAGATCGATAAGAAAAACTCATAAATACAGTTTGGTGCTACTTAAGATTCTATCAGTTTTTATGAACAATCTCCGGTACTTCATATCGTATCTACCCTGCAGAGCAATTGATTTTATGGTTAGGCTGAATGAGCGTGTGATAAACAACAGAGCAATCATGGTAACACTCAAAGCTATGTTGATTCCGTACAAGGAGAATGTTCTTGAACGGTTTCTTGAGGAGCACGACTGCATACACGTTCTGATTTGTGTGATTGATAGGAATATGGTCATGAGAAAAGATGTTCTGTCCAAATTGAAAGTGATAAAGAGTAGCGGTGCAATTTTCTACAAGCTGATCGATGATTTGGAGGTTTTGGAGCAGATACGTGGGAAGGAATGGAATGAGGTGTTCTTTTCGTTTTTGACTGACGAGTGCGAGCATGTGCAGCATTGCACCGAATGGAGCAGTGTGAAAGCGACCAATGGCATAGCTGAGTCATCGAATGCCTGCTTAGTTCATTGTAAGAAATACCAAACTCTGGTTTTATTATCAAAACTGCCTTTGATCTTTAAAATATCCAAGTTGATGGTTGTAAATCACTGGAAGGCCGTGCTATGCAACCATGTTTGTGTTGGCACGGCTTGTCCAGATTTTTATCAGCGAGAGTTTCTGAACCATCTCCGGAGTAATTACCTTAACTTTGCGCGTGTCCTGTTTTCAGAAGTAAAAATACGAGAAAGAGAACGGAATACGGCTAAGAACGACAGCGCAGAGGATTATTGGAGGGCAGAACAGGAATTGAACGCCTCTTTGGTTGAAGAGGGCAACGATGCGTACATAGGAAGTGAAAATTTTATGAGCCAGGATAAAAATGTGAGCTAGTGCTTGTACCACTTCTATTGCAGTGTACACGCTGTTTGAGAATGAGCATTGTTCTATGCTCAGGGAATAGAAGGACGCGTAGGTTAAAGAGGAGTGATTAAATTACATTTACTTACTCTTTCAGCTGTTCCTCTCACGTAACGATGATTTGTACGGTAAATTGCTTGTTCTTCTGGTTCATCAGATTTTGATGTGCTGAGATGCATTTTCGTTCCACATAGCACAAGCAATTTAGGAACAATTTCTAGCGCAAGGGAGTTGTTCAGCAACAATGACTGGTGGTTAATCTTGTTACTATTTGTTGCACATTCTTAATCTTTTAATTATAACGTGTTAAAGCCTTCTTCCATCCCTCCTCTGATAACACAGCGGTATGAACGTAAAATTATGTGTGATTCTACCACAATCTACGATAATCCCACGTACAACGCCCTTCCTGAACCGTTCATCCAAATTCATTTACCTGCTACTCCTCCGTCAATTTGATGGCCTATCGCTCTGTCAATTGCCAAACCAAGGCGGTATGTGGTGTATTTATAACAAGCTAAGAATAATTTACTTGGTAATTAGAACATGCCTGGCAGGGCTTCTTCAACCAATCGTACCACACAATCTCTGAGATCATCGCAAATCAACATGTCTTGCAGTTCAGGTGTAGCAAAGCATCAAAAGCTGTGCTGCCTTGCGCACAACGACAGGTAAGACAAGCAGCATGTTCTATCTACACGTATTTGAGAGCTGTGTCTGGCGTACATCTGCTACGTAGCGGGTGGTGCGTGCAAATCCTTCAGATTTAGATACGTGTAATGCTTTGTTTCGTTAGAGAGTGCATCAGGGTGTGTGTATCCGTTGATAATGCCAAACCGTTTCACACTCCTTGCTGATGACCGGGCCTGTGGTTTGCCCACGAATGTTACCGTTGAACATAGCGTTCACCAAATGCGTACCACGTACTCACCGGTGTGCCATTCTTCGCACATGATGGTGCATACTTTGACCACGGCATGTTTTTGAAGGTTTGTTGGATTGCCATCGCACAACGGCACGCAAAGAAACACTCCCAGCACTGAGTGTCTGCTATAGACTTGTGCTATAGACCGTAGCATTTATCTTGTCCACCATAGCCATGCCCTTCATGTCAGCATCGGATGAGGAGAGCGCTGTAACCATCAGTTCAGAACTTGGCGATGAACCTGCTGTTGATTACAAAATACACAAATTAAATGGCAAAAGCGTAGACGAAATTGGATATTTAACGAATAAAATGGAGATTGTGGACGAGGAAGGACTCTCCGATATGATGAACAACGTTACGTTGATATCTGCTGATGAAACGGTCCTAGCAATTTTTATTACTCTGGATGTAACGGAAGCAAGGCAGGCATTACATAGCTCGATAGTTAAAGCAATGGACAAGCTCGGGCTGGTGCCTGGTAACACGAGCGTAATTATCTCGGAACGTGTTATGAATCTTCCTGTAAACGAGATTTATCGTGCTTATGGCCAAGTGCTCGCCGAGCACTCTGATTATGTTTTCATTTCAAGGTTTAGAAATGTTAGCGGAAAGGACCTCAACGATTTGATCGTAGATTTTCCTGAGATGAAGCCCAAGGAGTTGAAAAAGCTTCCCTGCAATACGGAAGAGCTGTTTTTGATAGACCTGTGTGAAAAATGCGAGGTTGTAGATGCTAAGGGTGCACATTACCGGGTGATGCACGTCAAGGAGAGCGGAATCAGGAACTTTCTTACGAAGTTGAGCAATGAAATCGAGTAAAACGTATTTATTGGTAAGTATGGGGTCATCAGAAAAGATTGCACCTGCCATTTAGTTTCTTTCTATTCGGCCGTACGATTGCATCTGCCATTTAGTTTCTTTCTATTCGGCCGTACGATTGCACACCGTAACTTTTAATGCTTTCTTCTCCCCTGTCAATGCCTCGACTTAACAATGTTTCACCAGTTTTCTCCTTGATGAACATCACAGTCTAAATAATTTTATGTGGGCCAAATCATAGAACAGTCCCGTGAACATTACCAAGGATGCTCACTACCATTTTACGGTACATAGAACGGACACTGCTGTAGAATAATCTGTTTTGCTATTTATAGTACAAAAAATCATCACCATCGGTTTGTCCAAAGAAAAGCACCAGTATGTCATTGTATCTGTGAACGAGCAGTGTTCATTCATTTCTATTCTTATCTTTATCCTTAGATATGGTGCAACTTCTGAGGCATAAAGATTGCCTTCTTGCATTAGAACAGGGCCCGTATCCGTGTGTAAAGCAGGTACCACCAAGTACCGCTGCATAAAATACGCTACCGATACCAACATTAAATAAAACCTCTTCCTGAACTAACCCTCGCTATCACAGCAGTTCATACGTGCAGATCAATAGCTGTTCGCTCCAGGACCGTGGTATTAGTTGAACTTAATAATTGCACTCTTTTCTGGCCCTGTTATGGCAAAGGCAGCAGCAAAAAAAACGAAGAAATTGGCATTCAAGAACGCCAAAAAATCGTACATAACGAAGGATAATAAAACCAGAGGCATAAAATTCTTGACGAAGAAGCTGAAAGAAAATGAGCCGGAGTTTTTTACGCTCATCAACCGAGTTAGTGTGAGACCAAAAATGAAATTGTGTGATATAACAGGCCTGCCAGCAAATTATACGTGTCCAAAGACTCGGCTTAATTACTTTGATAAGGACGTATATTACCATCTGCTGGAGATGAACACCGATACGATCAAGTCTGTTCTGGCAGTCAAGAATTTTGGAATGAACCTCTCTACATTCAAGTAAAATTCATGTATTTGGTGCTGTACGCACAGCTGAAGTTGTTGTGATCTGCAGAGTTGTGCTGTAACTCTCTGTCTTTTCTGAATACCAGTACTTTGTGTTGTGCTATTACATGCCGAGTACGAGCGTATTTTTGTTCTCACTCCTGCTTTACCATCAATTATGCTGGTAATGCCAAATTCATTCCTTTTTATTGCTACGATGGAGTAACTGCCAAGCTTTTATACCAAAATATTTCTCTTTCAAATATTAAGACCATTTGTTACGCCACCTGCCACGTATTTAGAGCTAATCTCGGTGTGGCAGGAATATAATAAGAAGTGTTATGAGACATACCCGTAAATCAAATGGCATATACAATTTTA